GGACGGTACTTCCGCTTCTTCGTCCTCATCTTCCTTTAAAATACAAACAACATTTAGCCCACACCCTTGTTTCTCCGTTTGGGCCGGGCAGCATTTCCTTCCCTTCACACCTGTATCATTTCCTCGCGCACTACACCGTTTTCATTTCTCGTCCTCGGCACCGAATGCAAAACTTTTATGCAAGTTCTGATAGGTTCATCGGGTGTCCACGTTTATTTTGGTTCTAGTGGTTACACGTCACACCGTAAAAGTACTACAATATCAGCGGTTCTCCTACCAATAAGAAGAGGGACAATAACCCGAGCATAACCATCAGAGACAAGTAGTTGGTACCAACACTGTCATCAACTTACTATATCAAATTCATTTTCTTTTTCTTCGTATTCTACATTTTCATCCAATTCTTTAAAATCTGGTGCAAACGCGCTCCAGTTTTCCTGTGCAAGAGAGACAAAGTCCGATCACACAGTTCAAATTAACTCATTTTATTGCGACTAGAAGGGCTGACTGACAAATCTTAACAAGGTAAAACACTTACATCAATCATCTGGATTTAAATTGGGATTGTACTAGTTTAATCAATCCAAGTCCTGGTCTATGTACCACAGACGATAGTTACATTTCAGTATGTAATTTTCTCAGAAATTAACTACCAAAACAATTTCATAATCCAACAAGCTTACCACGTGATTTTGAGCCCAAATCGAGACAACCCCACTTGAAATCGAGGCTATAATAGGACGGATAGGGTGCCACTAATCAAGAAAAAAATCAAAAAGGATTAAGGACGATGTTTATCATTCCACAAGGGGACTACAGTCAGCTGGTTGGCAAGTTATCCTGTTTGAACGCAACTTAGACAAGCAGAGGATGTTGATAAACCTTGAAGTCAAATCTCGGCCTTGAAATTCTCTTTGTTGTAGTTTTTAACACTCCAAGTGACCAACAACAAAATCTTCCAATCTTACCACTACTTCCAACAACAGTTCACCCTTGGTACCATGAAGAATTTTAACAAGATTTCCCACTCCTTTTTCCCAGATGTACAATGCATGGGTGCGAGATGATCCTGCCACAATAGAACATAATTAATTTGAAAAACAACAAGAACAACACTGATGCAATATTGCATCTTGCGTTGGATATTTTGCTATGGTAGTGTATTGTTCAATTTCTAATTGTTACCAGAAGTTAGCATTTCAAACAGTTACTAACAGTTTATTAAAATATCAAAATATCTACAATCGGGAACTAAACTGTTAAGAATTACATCTCAATATCTGGATGGCTTCCCCTTTCTCCCCTTCTGCATCTTGAAAACAACATTCTTAGGCTGTTTGTAACTTTTCCTTTTCCAAAACACAAGCATTGCTATCACAAAAAATGTAATTTCACTGGACCAAATAAAGAGGAAGTGGATGGAAGAAGGAAGGGGGGAAGTACTAATGATCTCTGTGTACTGGAACAAACTGCTTATACTGCTTAGACTCAGTTAACTAAATGGATAGAGCACTGGACTGTTGTGCGGGAGGTCGAGGGTTTGAGCCCCGGCCGGACCAACACTCAAGGTCTAAAAATAATTGAGAAGAATATGCTACCTTTCTATAACATCAAGAAATGGTTAGATATTCTAGTCTTCTCGGTTAGGGATGAATAAGTGGAGGTCCCATCTCCTACAGGGTTAGGGATAGGAGACGTTACTTTCCCACGCACAAGATTACTGTATGATGGATGTCCTCCCCTGGGGTGAGATGGGTGGGTTGGGGTTGGGTTAAGGTTGGGTTAGGCGGATGAACCTAGTAGGGGACTATGTGTCCTATTGTTCTCTCGCCTGTACACAGTACGAATCTTTAAATACTAATAACAGGCTTTGTCTGCAGTTGTAGGTTCAGAGAGGAAACCTTGGATAGTTCAGTGCCTCAGATTGATTTCTGAAGCAAGAGGGAAGCATTACACCAGGCAAGTAAATGCTGTGGAATAATGTGCATATTACCATATTGACCACATACCAAATTAGCAGGAAGAAATAAGTAATTTATTTACCTGCACAGATATATTCTCCATCACCTGAGAAGCAACACTTTTTCCAGAGTGTCCTGCCAATCAAATGATACTACATTAATGAAAAAAACTATTCTCATTCACTTGACATTCTCCTTTGCAAAGCATAACCCTCTCTCTTATTTATAATGGTTACAGGACAAAGCAGGATTCATTTTGACAAGATTTTCTCTCATTGTTCTCTCTTTGCCCATGTCACCTTCACTTCCAAATGTATACAACTGACAAAATTTCATGAAATTATTACCTATTAACAAGATCTTGAAGTTTCTGTATTGGCTCAGGCTCCGCTCCTTCTGTTCCTTGGCAGGACAGCACAATCTGACTGTCAAATACCCTTATTATTCTGTCCTGTGAGTTTATCAGGAAAGCACTGAAGAAAAAAAAAAAAAGAGTTAGCTCAATACAGTAACTGTTAACCCTTAAATCTTCAAAATCTGATTTAAAAAATCTTCTGTCTAGAGGACACACATTTTATCAAAAAGAATTTCAGAGGATCTGGTTTTACACCAAGAAAACATCCATTAACTTATGTATTTGTTTTTTCTCATCACCTGCTCACTGGATAAGTATTGAAATTGCTAGGATAATTTGCATCTTGATCAGAGCTTAAATGAATAACCTCAAAAGGTGTCAAGTGCCCCATGAATCTAACAGAGTCAAGGATCTTTCAACTTTTTATAAACTGAAGTGCGGGCATTTTAACTCTTCACTTAAGTCGTATTTTCAATTTTGTTCAGATGAGAGATTAAGATCGCATGCAAGTAATAAACTAAGAATTAATAGATTCAGGACGGAACTTTTTAAGGGAACATTTTTTAATAGGATTCCGTATCTATGGAACAATCTGCCTGATGCGTTGAGGACGGCTAGCTGTAGTGTTTCTTCTTTTAAGAGACTATGCACTAATTTTTATAACGATAGGGTTTTCGACCCTGAGCACCCATGTACCACCTGGGCTAAACCAGCACTTAGTTAGTAAGGTTGTTAGTTAGTAAGTTAGTTAGATTACTCAGTTAGGTAGTTAGCAGCTAGCCAGTTACATACCTTGATTAAGTTTTTTATATATCCGTATATTTTCTTCATAATGGGTTGACTAGCACGTATGGTTCGTCAGTTCCCTTCTAGTCTTCCCCACTGCCTTGTTATGTAACCTAATTTGTTATTATTGTGTGTTCTTTTGTTTTATTTTCCCATGTAATTGCAGTGAAATGGAATAAATTAAATTAAATTAAATTAAATTCACGTGCAGTTTCTCGACAGGGTATGCGATTGGTCCAGTGCATAATGGAC